TCTAAATTGGCTAATAAACACCCGTTCACCACTAAAACTGGAGTACAAAGTACTTTTGTACAGTGCAGTTCTCCAACCCATCTGGACATACGGCTCCGAGCTATAGGGAAATGCTTGCGTTAGTAATTTAAAAATAATCCACAGAGCTCAATCGAAGATACTAAGAACTATCACTGGGGCACCATGGTACATACGGAATGAAAATATCCATGAAGACATAAATGTAGGATCAGTTAAAGATGAAATTGCCAAAGTGAAAGCAAAGTACCAGGCCAAGCTTCAAGCCCATCCTAATAGACTTGCGTAGTCTTTAACTTGGCACACTAGCCATACACGACTCCGGCGAAGAGACCTTCGCCTCCAATTCAAGCGGCCAAAAATTGTAGAATCCACACAAGCACAGAATGTGAGAATACATGGCACACACACATTTACGTAAACTGTAATCTCTAGAAAAGTCGGTTTCTGCAGCTAAAAACGAGAAGAAACGTGTGAGTCGCTACTGGGGACGCGACTCTACTTATACCCGTACTCAGTCAGTATATACATTTTTGTGCATATGATTTTTTAGAATTAAAAAAATTTTACATATTACCTTTTTTTTGCTACATCTGTTATCTACATCTACAATGTATACTTTACATCTAACATGTAGATTATAGATGTACCATTCATATTCTACATCTCCTCCGCTAGGGATTGTTCGCGAACTGAACGCGGCAGAGTGTGCGAGTGAGAAAGAGAATGAGTAGCGAGTCTCTGGCAGGGGGTGGCGGAGGAAGCAACTGAAAATTTATTTCTTCATTCTGGCTATAATTATGATCCGATCTGATTCAGATTCGGCAATCTGGTAGATATGGTCATTCTCTACGATACTGCGTTTTATCGTATCTTTAAAATTGTGCCTGCCACAGACGGGGCGGGGCGAAATTTTGAAATACACTTGTAGCAGTGTGATGTCACATGAGTCTGGGAACCAAATTTGGTTACCCGAACTCTTATAGTCTCTGAGATCCAGGCGCTCAACAAGACGGACGGACAGACAGACATGGCTATATCGACTCGGCTATTGATGCTGATCCAGAATATATATACTTTATGGGGTCGGAAACGTTTCCTTCTCTGCGTTACACACATCCACTTTTACCACAAATCTAATACATACCCCTTAACTCTTTTTTGAGTACGGGTATAATTATTCTATGCATACAATCATATATTTTGGAGTGTTACACGTACACAACACATACATGCTTGCTCTCCGTCGGCTCGTGTCACGTCATTAGCCGAACGCGGTCGGCCCTAGAGCCGAAGACCTGGGAACGTACGCTGCAAACTCAGCTGCGCCCCTTTCGTTGTATGAACTGGCACATCTATATACTGTATGGTTAGTGGCATGACGCAGCCCCAATGTAAACAGCCTATTAGACAATTTTTCTGCGTAGAGAGGGATAGCTCTCGAGACAAAATGCAACATTATTGTTCGTAGCCGTCTCTAGACACTTCTAATGGCGTTTAGTAAAACAACTGAGGTACTAATTGACACACAATGATGTTTTCCAGCAGAACACAGACACCAAGCCAGCAATATTGTATCCGCAAAGTAAAATTTTCGATAAATTCTGCTGCAGCGCTGCTCCGAGCTCAAATTGACAGCCAGCTTGACGCATATAATTCTCTCGCCCTGACTGCAGGCATTTCCCAAAGGGGACTCTTTATTTTTCCAGCTACACAGTTAACAAAGTCTAATGTCATATGGCTATTCAAACAGCTAAAAGTGAAGGGTAAAAAAGCTCCTTGCAAACTGACGCATATCCATTGCCGTGATACCCAAGGTCCACTAAACAACATCAGGTAGTGCACTCAAGTGCACCATGCTGCGGCTTATGGACAAAAGACGGTAGACGTAATGCTTAGCCAGGAGCCCTGGATCGTAGGTGACAGGGTTTGGGTGTTCGCAGATACCGTCTTCCCTGCCACACCACAACCCGCAGGAAAGGCCAGAACCTGTACGAACTTAATGTTCTGTTTTCTTCCAGGTACTGCAGATAGTATCTTACGTTGTAAATATGTGGAAGAGGAAGGACGGAAAACATCTATACATCTATTTCTATTTAACCCGCATACCTGACATATAAAGAAGAAGACCTCATCACAGATTCACTGCTATACCATAGATGGCACCACAGAGGCCTCAAGGCTTCGAGGAGCACTGCCAAAGGGGCCCACCATAACAGGCTTGCTCCGTAACCATGACGGTACTTTCGCAGAAAGCATTCAAGAATATATATAGAACTCCTCATGAACCGCTTCCCTGGTTCCTGAAATATCATTGGCGGCGAATCCACCGCCGACGCAGAGCGACATCAGGAAATTAAGGATATCAAACGAGATATAATAAAACCAGACAGGATTCATCTGGGCCATTAAAACATTAAGTCCCTACAAATCCCCGGGGCCGGAAAAAATCTGACCAGGCATGCTGCAATCAGCATGTTCACACCTACTTCCCTGGCTGCTCTATCTTTACCTACCTAAATGGTAGATCAGGAAGATAGATACACGAAGTTTTTGGGCATATTGAAAAGACCCTTAGCCATAAGGAATATACTTTGGCGGCCTTCCCAGATATAGAGGGGTCCTTCCACAACGTCAGGATCGAGTCAATAACGGTCGCAGAAGCCAAGACAGGCACACACCCGACGGTAACAAGATGGATGGGCATCGTTCTCAGGAACAGAACCATAAGCGCCAATCTAGGCTTCTCTTCCTCAAGAAAGACACACGAGGCACTCCTCAGGGAGGAGGTATATCCCCGCTCTTGTAGAACCTGCTCCTCAACGTCCTTCTTTTTCAGGTGGGGAGGAGCGGATACAAAGTCACGACCTGTGCGGATGATCAAGTAATACTGGTAACGGGCAAGCTCCTTCCCACAACCAGTGACCTTCTGGAATCTGCACTGGGCACGACCGCTAGCTGGAGTCTCCAGAACGGTCTGGGGGCTAAGATCCTATTCCAGGCTGCGGTAAGCTTCAGTCTGTCCAGGGTACGAACTACAAGTTATTTGTAGTTTGCTGGGACTTTTAAGGAGTGGAACTGGCCGGGTGAAATCTAAATAAAATAGGGTAGGATCATAACACTTGGTTATGTTTCTGAGGATTTTTATTATTGTTTATTCGATGTGTTCTTCGCCCTTCGTATAGCTACCGACGGTCTACCGATTGACTGGGATACATACTTTGATGATTGTGACTTATCTGCTAGCGCGTGTCTGTTGATTGACCGGTAACAGAGGGTTACCGAATCATCGGCCACAGCCAGTGTCCAATATCCTAAGTAAGGAGAATCGGAGACTGCTGACGGTCTTGCGCGTGTGCGTTGATTGACCGGTAACCGAGGGCTACCTATGTCAATACCCTCCCAGCAAATCTTCAATGTCCCAGGTAATGCGATAGATGTATGTGTATTTCGGTTGTGTAACTGGTGGATATACATAAATTTATGTGTCGTATTGGGAAATATGTGTATTTTGCTGTATTAGCTTATTGCTATATATATTTAACTCTAGTAGGAGGTGGTAGTATTGAGAATATGTTATTGTTTATTGCTATATATATACACGTATGCAGCAATAAGACCCATTATGGCATACGGAGGCCTAGTATGGTGGGAAGCGACTAACACTGAATCTCACCTAGAGAACATCCGTAGAGTCGAAGGGACATCATTCCTTGCTGCCATCCGATCTTTCAAATCCATCCATTTCATCTGCGTTGTCAAGCTACTATCAAAGCTTTGATGTTCTGCAACACCACAAGCAGACCCGTACGTGAAGGTACGGATATACGGATAAAGTAAAGCATATCAGGGTCATATTGACATCGCTTCCAACGAGAGTGCGGAAGACTGTGCCAGAACTGGAACACCTAAGCCAATGGCGGCGCAGTCACCGGCATCATCTTGCAGAAATTGGCCGAGCTAAAACGAGATCAGACAGGCGGTGGAACACAACTCCTAACTGAGATATCTCACGCTCGCTCTGGCCCAAGAACACTGACGGGAGTTATAACGGAGCCCTGATATCGGTCGCATTGCCACTAGATACGGACTGTCCCACAATGAATTCTACCGCAGCTGCACGCACGAGGAGGAGATAGAGCGCGTCCAGCATCTTCTATGCAACTGTCCTGCACTCATGGGAAGACGTCACCAAATACTCGGTGGAGCCTTCTACGAGGACCTGGATAGCCTGGCCACCACAACGATGGGGAAGGTGGCACTCTTTATTGTTTTAAAAACCCACCCTAATTAAAGGAGAGCGTCAAATGACAAGTATGGTGATCACAATGGGCAGGTCTTCACCCACTTCGACCACAAATGTAATATACCCCTTAACTTTTCAAGTACAGGGTATAAAAAGAAAAAAATCTTCTGGTGCCACTTTAACTAGTATAGCTTGACTTGTTGAGCCGCATAAACTTTACGATTCCTGTTAGATCTACTAGAAACTTTATTCCTTTGCTTTGTAGATCGAATTATTCCTTGCACGAACCATTTAGGGTCCTGTGCTCGGACTTCAATTCCCTCTACCACATAATATCAACTACTAATTCCCTTCCTCTTCTTAAATCACTAATACTAACATACCTTTCCCGTAATTAGTTATATTTTTTAGCTATCTTTGCATGCTTAGCTCTTTGAGTTGTGTTTAGCTCTAATTTTCCTCGAATTTTAGTCTAACACCTATCTTTCCTGCATGCTCGCGATCGGTTCGGTAACACGCGTCAAGCGTCATGCGGCAGCGCCCCTCGGTCGGTTGGGCGGGAGGAGGGGCTGCGTTTCTGCCTGGGTTCCGCGCGTAACAGGCTACGGCTTGGTGTCGCATGTGCCACTTGATGGTGCAGACATTGCATATCAACGTCCAGACAGAAAAAATAACTCTTCAGTTCGAAAATATTGAAAATGAGATTGCTTTCAAAAGTGAATCTGTTTTTTTTATGTATACTATATGTTGGGTAATAATTACTTTATTTTATATTTGTTTTAAAGAAATACATGCATAAATGACCATATATAATATATAGGTGCATATTTTTACGTGATTAATTACAATTTGTAGACGATACAATTTATATCTGTGTGATTAAGTGCCTTTGTTATCTTTACATATTTTCGTATATACAGAATATTAAGCATTTAATGTGAATAATGTTGTTATATTAATTATATTCAAAATCTTTTCGGTTATTCAGATTTTAGGGTAGGGATAGTGTTATTATCGATTATTTATAATTTATTATCCAAAACACCAACTTCTATAATACAAAAGACCATAATTATTTAGACACATCTAGTTATGCAGGGGAGTATTTCCCACCCGCTCGACCTATATATACTCGAATATGTCTAATTTTTAATGCTATGTCAGTAAATTTAACGATAATATAATTACTCGTTTGTATATACAATTCTGTTAGTTTTCGATTTTAAATATATGTATATTGTAGGAATAGGAATATTTTATATAAGAGTGGTTAAAAGCTTTGGTGCTTCCAAGTAATCCAATTGCAGACCACGCTTGCTAAATACCATCGTATGGATTAATTCTCTTTGGAATTACTTCTTCTTCTTATTCATTAATATTACGACCGGATTTAATGAATTCATCAGGGATCAAGCCGATGTTTCGTTGGGTTCCATCCAACCTTCACTGTCGTCTTCACTATCCGAATCTTCAGACTCGGACAATTCAATCGCCACACGTCTTGCCAAGATCGATGCCACATCCAGAGGTGCTGTGTTGCGTTCGATTTCCTTCTGCTCCGACTTTTCCACCTTACGCAGAGTGATGCCTGAAATGAACATTTGTTTGTGAGTTACTTTGGCCGTAACTAGTTTATAGATTACCAAATGGCACATACCATCTCGAATAGCTTTCATCAAATCGTTGCGGGGATCATGGAATGGAGGCAGTAACTTTTTGGCACTCACAATGTGCGACCCCCCATTTAGTTGCCCTTGCTGCATTTGCCCATTGGCAGGCGTTTTGGGTATAACGTGGTGTGAATGCAGTGTATGAAGACTGCCTGTGCCATCATCTACAGGAGGTGGCGGTGGCGGCGGTGGTGGTGCCGTATTTGGTGAAGATAGTTTAGGTAAATGCTACAGGATGATTTAAAAAAGTTAACGTCGAGAAATACAATTAAAAATCACAATTTATCAAACCTGATCGGGCACTGGTGGTGGTGGGGGTAAATCGCTGAGAGAGTTCAGTTGGTTTCCTGTCATGCCAATGCTGTTAAATGTATTGCTTAGTTGTGCCATTACAAGGTCATTTGCATTTTGAGCGCTGTTGCTTGGAGCCATCTGCGGAGAACCTGCTCGCGATGCACTGTTTGTGCGACCCAGTAGTTTAACAGAAATATGGCTAGTGTTAGCGCCATTCATTGCTGACAAAGGTGAAACTGCGTCTGGAACTGGCGGTGGCGGTGGCAATGCATCACGACTTGTCGACATACTTCGACCCCGCGTAGGAGTATTTGCGTTTGAGGCAGTAGGTGTGCCACCTCCACTGCCATTTGAAGGTGGTGCCGGTGGAGGCTGCGAAGGTCGGGGTTTGTTACGAGATGGCGTTCCCGGTCCGTATATCGTTTCTGGGGACATAACACCCTGTCCACTTTGACCGTACAACGCATGCGACTGATAAAGACCGGCATCGTACAGTTGCTGATGCTGCATATGCATGTGAGGTGCGGCCGACATACCATTCCCGCCGTAAGTTGAGTATTGATTAGCAGCCGCTTGTGCCGTAAGCTGCTCGTAGCCGCTACCATCGACGAGCTCAGGTTGATAGCTGCGTCTTAATTCGATGGAGTTTGGACGAGGTGGGCGCGTATCATAAACACCCATATCTAGAAAAGCGCAACAGAAACGTTAGTGCCATTGAAATGTCACGAGTTCAATTCGGAAACTATTCTTACAGAAAAAAAAGAAAAGAAAACAAGCCAAGTACGTAAATGCATAAAAGTGAAACTAGGTAAAAAAGAAAAAGCAGGAAGAATTGTTTAATGCCCTTGAAGATTTACTAAATATATTTTCTAAACAGACATCGCAATGCCATTTTGACAAAATCTTTTCCAATTATAATTGGAACAATTATACATAATAATGTACAGTACGGAAAACCAAAACTGAGAGTTTCAAAGGTTTCAAACGAACATTCTTTATCCGTCCTTCTATGCGCTAGGCCTCTTCAAGGGTATTAAAACGATGTATGTATGACAGACAAGCAATTTAGTATTTCCGTGCAGTGATGCTACCATTAGACATTGATGTGAATCGTAGCGAATTATCTTTGCACAAAACATATGTATGCAACTTCACAGCTTATTCTGTAGTAAACTAATTAAGATTTTTTCACAATCAATAAGTTTATCATATTATATGTTTTGTTCTATGTTATGCTTTTGTAGTTTTAATAGCACTGTGAAATGTTTTCCAGCCTTATTCTAAAAAAAATGGTTTGCATCTAGTTGCTATTTGCTCGGGAGTTTACTTTACTGATATTTATACAAATATAGAGTGAATGTAATTTTTGCTGTAGGGTCTTCTTGGGTTGGAATAATTCAACTGAACATAGGGATGTGTACATACATATTTCCCTTGCGATATCGATTGAACACAAATTCATACACATATATCTATATTTTATTGGAAGGAGCTCTCTGGCAAATCAAATTATAAAATGTTGCTCATGGAAAAATTAGGATAGAATCGTAAGAGAAACATTTAGAGTTTATGTTGAGCTATCTTTAAGTTGATTTGATGTCTAACCTGTAATTGCAACGGCGGTTTGCTTTGTGAGATTACTGTTTTTCTCCAAATGTGAGAGCATATTATATGGCTTTACTGAATCTGTAAATGAGATGATCAGGTGTGTTTTTTGTTCCATTCATGTTTACAATCAATTTTATTTGGATCAGTGCACAACAACAAAAAAAAAAGTTCGTAAAACGAATGGCATGCAAAATATTGAATATAACTTTTTTAACCGACACTTTCATGAAATGATCGAGTACTCAGAAAATCTTGAATGAGACAATGTGTCTGAGTCTAATTGAAGTCCGAATGATGACAAAAATTAACAAAAAATTACAACTTTTAATAGAATTATTAGATTTATTTAGAAAATGTACACATTTTTTTCTATTCTGGCTGTAACATTTATCTGCTCGGTATGATCATTCGTTGCTTTTAGCATCACACAAATTAAATTTGGATCCCCTTTTTTCGCCATATAAATTTTCCTGTTAGCATCACATAAATTAAATTTGGATCCCCTTTTCCGCCATATAAATTTTCCTGTTATAAAGTACTGTTTTTCATAGGTGCATATATCCCCAAAATTACATTAGTTTGGTTTGCGAATTGTAATATAAACAATGACCATTGTTTCAAAATTCGACAGCTATGCAAATGAGCAGGCGATCAATGATAAAATGATGAACAGCTTGAACAAATTAATACGTTAATTTATAACTCATACATATATTCAAACAGAATGAAATTAGAAAACGTTCAAGAACGTCGGCGAGACTAGTTTTTTATTTTGTTTCTCTGCAAAACAAATACATACATATGTATACATACATATAAGCAAGCGATTATCAGTTGCTTGAACAAATCGAAAACGAACGAGCTAGCGTTTCAATTAAAGTGATTACTAAACAAGTGAATGTATGGAGTATTTGTATCAAATGCTGAATGACAGTATTGTATGTCCGCCGAAGTTATGCTCATGTTTATCTTACACAGCCCTGGCCCGTTCGTACCTACGTCTTGGACATTATCCCTATCGATATCGGGAAAATACGACACAACCTGGTGTTGTGCATTCAGTGTGCACTGCCGTAAATCGATGTCGGCGCCTTGCGCTGCGGTTTTTATTTTGACTAGCTGGGCTACGTAGGTGGACAGGACATAATTAAAAATTAATCAAATTGTATTTAACATGTCGTTGTGCAGATAAGTACAAATATCCAGTGCGTATGTAAGAATTGTCGAATTTCCTATTGCATACAAATTCGGGTAGCGTTTTAAAGTTTTATTTTCGCACTGAGTACTTGGCTTTTGAATAAATAATAGCTAAATATGTATGGTTGTACATATAGAATATGTATGGTTAAGATAGGTGCATACTTACTTCCATACCCGGCTTCCTCGTTAACCATTGAATTTGGAGTGCGATAAATTACATTGTTGGGCATCAACGTCTCGCCGTGTCCCAGGACGAGCTGACGCTGCTTCTCCCGAGTATTATGCGGAGCTCTTATTTTTGTCTTCTGTTTCTTATTGCCACGACCGGCGGCACCGCCGCTGCCCCCGTCTTGCCGCGGACGGTTAAGTTTCTTGCCTTTATCGTGCATGACGCGCTCAGTGTCCTTCAGCATTTCTTGTCGCCATAACTCAAAGAAATAGTTCGGATCAGTGTAGAATTTAAGGCCATCCTTTCCATCGTCTCGATAGACGTTCAGCTTGTCCAACGGTGGTGGCTTGTCACACTGGGCGTATGTCTCAAGCATTGGGGCAGGCATTGTAGCTCGCGAGAAAATTTGCTGATCAAATATCTTTGCCGATTTAAAGGCCTTCTTTCTAGTAATATCGGTGAGTGGCACCTCTTCCACGGTGCTGTCCAGCTGGGTAACCTTAATTGCCAGCCGATCGATGCGTGCCTGCAGAGAGTTCGCACGATCGCCAATACTTCCCACGTCTCTAGCCAATTCGCCAAACACATCTTCGGCGTGCTTCGACAGCGATGACAGTTGTCGTATGATATTCGTGAGTGTGGTATTTGTTACCGTCTCCAGCTCCACCGACTGCAATTCATCTTGTTGGTACACAGATCGTGCCACATGAACGGGCTCAATGGATCGCTTCGGCAGTGGCATCCTCGGCAGGTAATGAAAATCTCTAACTTATCACAACCGGGTATTAATGTGTCCTCATTGACTTGAATAGAAAATGCAAGTTAAATATAGGTTTAAAATCAGTTGATGATTTTAATGATGTTGATGTGCAACGGTCTGGGTTTTCTATATACTTAAACACGACGATGCTTCTCCAACGTATTTACTTTAATATAGCGAATGACCTTACCAAGAATGAAAATAATGTTACATTCCGACAAATACTTAATGTTCGACTCTAAAACATTCACAGACATTCCCTTTCATTAAATTAAAATCAATTGTCACATATGTAAACTCTTCATAAATGGAAAAAAATTCTATTATGACCGGAGCAGTGCCAGTCTATTTGACAGTCTGATCATGCCAATTTGCTGAAACATTATTCCAAAAACTAAATTCGGTGACTTTCTGGCACATTATCTTTTAAAAAAACCACATTAAATAGTAAATGATATAGTTAAAAATTTTGAATTTGTATGCAGAGTTGAAACGAAGTTTTTGGACCACACCCCACAGATATGTATGGGTATTCTCCATGTTGTGATAAGAGGCTTAGCCCAAATCATCCCTGCCGTAGCGTGGACGGAGCACACTTTAGTAGATACGCCCAATTCAATGTTATCTGACTCGCCCCACTGTTTGCACTGCATGCACTCACCAACGCAAATTAAATAATCAATGCTCTAAGCCTTGGTTAGCTATGCATACATATGTACGTATACACATGTATGTACATGCTGGTACATATTTACAGATGCAAATATGTAGGAATCTCTACGATTTTTTCTGTATTATTATATATACACTTTTTCACTAAATCGACACAATATTCATACGTGGTTATGATCATTTATGAAGGCAAGGCACTTTCTTTTCGCACTGGTTCGGTCATCACTTTATTTGATTCAATCACACCTTTTTTTAAGTTCACTCACCGCCCGTCACTCTTTTTGTTTAGCGCTTCTCAAAAAAAACCATAAAAAACTACTTTTGACGCGGACGAAATTAATATTTCGATTTTATAAGCAAGAACTCCTTAAAAATTCATAAATATTTGCTCTTTTTATTGAATATTATTTTTTCACACTTATTGTAGTGGTGTGCACTTAGATAGACAACCGATGCAATCGATAGACATTCGATGTTTTGGCTGGAAGCTTCTGCCAATTGCAGCGCTGAAAAACAAAATAAATTACGTGTTAACATGCAAGTATTATGTATTGGTATACTGCTTGAATTTAATTAACACACAATTAAAATTAATTTCTTAAAAAAAAATGTTGCATATACAGGCAGGCCCCGGTTTCAAATTCACTTTGCGTTATACTTTTCAACAAAGTGTCATACTTTCCACTTCAAGGCGCTCTGGAATCCACTTTTGTGAATTTGTTTACTCTTTTACTCTTTAGCCTAGTACACAGATCCAAAAACTGTTTGTAAGCAAACAAATGTCATATATTCTTCTAGCGGACAGTGGTGTGACCAGAGGTGTGTACTGCATTCCGTACGGTTACACTGCTCAGACCGCTGCTTGGTTTTGTTTAAAGTTAATAAAATAATAAACTGCACTTCTTCGGCTGGTGTCGCTCTTCGCCAGGCATCTCCTGGGCTCCCCAATATTTTCTTGGCAAGGTAATGTGTCTGACTATCAGCAGCAGCAGATGGCGACGCCTCCCGTGCCGACCACTGTGAAGACAAAATGTTTTAACAATATTTGTTTTATATTTGTCGGAGATGTATAATAAAGATGTATAAAAACTGATGAAACTGTAAACAGAAATGTATAGAATTAAGAAACTATGTCAATAAAGGAGAACAGAAACTACGCAGTAATTTATGCGTTGTTCCTTCTATTCGCGTTGTTGTTGAGAGCGAGGTTTAAGAACGATAGAGAGAGTCGTCTCAGCTGATTGCTAAGGAGAGCAATCATGTATTGCGTAAGCGAAAATAAGAAAACGATAAGAGGAGTTTTCAGTTTGCTCACGGAATTGAATGAGAGAACACATAACCGCGATTCACTGCGTTCAAGTGCCACAATGCAGAAAGAAGAGCACCCAGATTTTCTGCCCCGACATATGTATAAATATTAATAAAAATATTATATTATAATATCCACATAATTGTTATTCATATAATACTGCATTAATTAGATTCTATTTGTCTTCATTATTAAAATATTTCATTTGGTTTTTTGTTCTCATATTGCAATGTTTGCTTCGTGTTTGCTGGCAAAAGATATAAAATTTATATCTTTTTCGAGGGGCTAGCAACATACCAACGAATGCCAGCAAATACCATCGGATACTTTTCTAGTATCTACCGACCTTTTTGTTGTTGTTGATCTGAGTACTGCCTTCCGTACAGAGCCTAGAAAACATTTTTTTCCCGAACAAATTTCTTATCGGTTTCATACGAATATCAACCCTGATTCTGTTCGCGAGGTGTTTTTTCGGATCTGAGTACTTGGCTTTTGTACTGATAAGCATAGTATCCAGCACTGCGGAATCGAAAAATTCCTGTAAAACTCCATATAAAAAAAACTGCGACAGGAATGTTTCGTTTACGTATTCCCGGAGTGTGTACCCAGCAACACGAGCGGAATCCATAGATTTATATCAATTTTTGCCTATCGGGACCGTGTGTGGACTGAGAGAACAGCTGATACCCAGCTCAGGAATATATACTTTACAATTTTTCCTGAAGTGAATGGTGCGAGATGTAGGCAAAAACTGTCCCCAAAACCAAAAAGAGAGATGAAAATTATTCTTTTTTGTTTTGCAACAACATATGGGCAGTTCCGCCAAAAGGTCCACCAGGCCAAAAATCATAAAAAGTCAATAAAAACCGATTTCTATTTAATTTTTTCCGGATATTTTTTTCTAAATTTATTGAAAGGTAACTAATTTACTTTATTCACATATAATTTCATTAACTTTCATCCTAAAACCTATGAAAATAAGCAAAAGTTCACGTTTTTGGTATTTTCTGGTATTTTTATAGACATGTTTTCTTTTACTATTATCTCCTAGGAAGAAGATGATTCTTGATAAAAGTTTCTCCTTAAAGTCTTTCTAATATATTAAACTACCTAAAACCATTATCAGAACGTTGGTCGGACCTTGGCTAACAGTATATATTTAGGGTTTTATAATCGCGGAATTTGGTAACGTAACGCCAGTAACGTTCGCCAGATGCCTCGCGGATTTTTAACAAAAAAAAGGAAAAGTTTTTACATTTAATAAGTTTGAAAATTAACTCTCAATACTTCATTTATTAGCACAAAAAATTTTATACAGATAGCCCATCCCATTCGCAGAGTTTTGCCATTTTGTACCCCAACCTCGAAAACCACTTCTGTTTTATGTAACGCACTTTTAGGTCATACTTTGGCTTATATCTTGAAAACCGTACGCTCGACTATTTCCTTTTTCTGGAGAATATAGGTCTAACCAAATTATATTCAACGAGGATAATCTTTTTTTCAAATTTCAGCTTTTTGACTATTTTTTCCAACATTTTGTGGTACGAATGTAACGTAACGCCAGATAGGAACTGCCCATATGCCGCCACCAACACAATCACTTCATCATCAGAGTGCATTTTTTTACAGTTGCCTCTTTTTACAAAACACAGCTGATTCATCAACCCTGTTTTAGCTATGTTCCACACCCTCACGGAATAGCTAGCAAATTCCTTGCCGCAATTTTCCGCGGTGCTGGAGACAGGCCCTTAAGCACCAATTTAACTCAACGCGTTAGAGCCTGCTTATACAAAAAGGACTCTGTTATTTTTCACAGTGTTTTATCGATAGCCAAATCGGGCTGCCACAGCTGTTAAGATGAATTCACCTATTTTTTTTTACCTAACTAATTTCTTCAGATCTAATTTTGAGGTTGGCTTAAATAAAAAATATTTATAAAAAGGGCACAAGCTCAATTGCTCTGGTAATGCCGCCAAATTCATGTCAATGCATCATTCAGTCATTTTTTTTTTTGCAATTAATAGCCTTTTCACACTGGGCGTGTGTTTTCCATCATTTTTATAGACGCAATGAAGCAGTAAAAGGCGTTTAGAATTGGCAGACGTGGATGTGTCTTGAGAATAGGCTGATTAGTGTGTTCTTGATGGCAGCGGAAAGTCGCACAAAGCAGCGAAACCAAATTTGGTTTCCAGAGAATTGATATCATTCGACTGCAAAATGGACGATTAGAATATTCGCCAGCCACCAGCAAAATAAGAATTTCTTTAGAATGTATAAAATAGAAGACAAGATACAGACCGTTGAAGTGAGAATACTGAACTCGTGTTACAGTTTTCCTCGTCAGTTTATATGTATGACAAGAAGATATATAATAATTATTATGAGCAGTTCATCGCAGGATACGATCCGCTCCATTACTGGAAGGGCAAAATTGAGTAATTTTACCAATTTATACAATTTTTAAATTATTCAGCCATGCTCCGGCTATCGCAAATCCCAAAAAGTTGCACATAAAACCTAAATAAAAACTTGTATGAGCGGAAAAAAATATAAACAAATCTGCTGATGTTTTAAGTTTATATATATGTATATAATTTAAAATTTATTTTCGTGTATCCTAATTTTTTTAAAGAAATATATTTGTTATTGGGCGGACCCAAATTTTACCTCATCAAACAAAACCTAAACAACAATCAAGTGCGAATTCCTATTTGACCAATATCAACATCGGCTTTGTGTAAAAATGTCGTATGTTCTTAATCCATTTTTTGTTTTGTTTTCGTATAATATAATGCGATTTCCAAAATGATGGAATAACATATTTCCATTTCCAAACCAAACAAAGATTTTTTCAAGACAAATATCGCAAAACAATTTGGGAATATAACACTATCGAAAGCAAAAAGTTCTAATCGTACGAATTATCCCAAAATCGTAAAAGCAAAAATAGACGTAAACGAGCATAGCGGATTGTAAAAGTTTTCGATGGCAATTTCGATTTACTGCTGTTTTAAAGTAACGATAGTAAGACCATCGATGGCTTTGCATTCCTGGCTCTTATGACACTACCACAGACGTAGCTTACTAAACTATCTGAAAACATATTACGTCGAACTTTTTTAGTTGATCTGGTGTCAGGAATTAGCCATACAGTACATATATGTATATAAATATGTGCCAGTTATATGAACATATATATGTATTTACGTATACATATTTTATATTCCTATTAAATTATGTATATGGGAACGAATCTCACTGACCTCTGGGAACTGTCGCAGCAAATTCTGTTCAGATATTTCACTTGTATGAAGTGTACACTGTACTTTTTCTATCGACTATCGATAAGTCTTAAAATATTCAGTAGCTCTTGAAGCGTAACACCTCTGTTTCATCGTGCATTTTCTTGGTAAGGTTTTGGTATGTTCTTAGATCTATTAGTTTTTAATATTAAATACTTGTAGATTACACGAAAATATGGCGAGTTTGGCTACAAAGGGATCGGGACTTGTAAGCAGTAAGTTTTATCATTCGAAAGCTTATTTTGTGGAAAATCTATATTTTCATACACTACCGAATTATGTAATGCAATTTTTTGCAGGGCTTCTTGTTCAGGCAAGGCCTCAGCTCGATGTTTTCTTGAAATACGCCAAGGTGGAACTAACTCCGCCAACGCCAGCCGATATTCCAGCAATTCGTCAGAGCATTGGCAATATTGTCAAGGGTGCTAAAACCGGCTCTTACAAGAACCTTACCGTTCGTGAAGCTTGGTTAAATACACTTATCACCGCCGAGGTCATCTTTTGGTTTTACATTGGCGAATGCATCGGAAAGCGCCACATTGTTGGATATAATGTTTAAACATCACATGTCCAGTTTTGTAGCTAACGAAATGAAAAAATGCTTGTTTCAGATATACATAGATGTCTGCTAATGTCTGGACACTAAATAAAGTGAAATAATAATACCGTAAACTTATCGCACAACTCTAAAACGATTATTTGGCTTCTCCAAATTTAATAAAAAGGGATCGACAAATGTCTTGAAGACAATTGTAGCGATTTGTGCAACAATCAGCTAGGCACATATGTACTAACATAGCATGAAGAAACGCATATGAACGTTGGGCTAACTATATAAATACATAGTTGCGACGGAAAACATCGGTCGAAAAACACTACATTTTAATTATGGCGATAGTTAAACCACTAACCATACAGTATATAGATGTGCCATTTCATACACCGAATGTGATGCGACAGCAGCTGAGTTTTCTGGCCAGCACCCCAGCCGAAGGCCCTAGTGGATTAACTATCGCTAATTAAAAGGTAGTGTTTTTCGACCGATGTTTGCCGTCGCAACTATGTATATTATATAGTATAATGATTCCATTCTACCTTGGAATGGTCGAATCAGCTCCAAAGAAAGACGGGTCAGATTATGAAAATGTGCTATTCTAATAATCGATACTATCGATAGATTTTACTGTTTTGTTTCTCTAGAGCTAACTAAGCATTTAATAATGCATACAGCATACCACCTACGACTGAAGTCACAGAATCTAGTGCATAGGCTGCAAAATCGTGAATCGTGTTACACTAGAATCGGCAGCAAATTAAATCAAAGCCCATACCTTTCTTATGAGCGAGGGTTCTACAAAAGTATCACTCCTTGTCTCACAATAGATTCTGTGGCAATTCCACCTGTTTATCTACGCAAGTTTACCCCTGACGGAAGCAAGCTACTGGCATTTTCGCTCGATCAGAGAAGTTTACACATTTACAAATATAAAGGCCTCGGCGCATCGGGTGTGGGAGAGCTAATTCGCGAAACAAATGTCGGAGAAATCGAGAGCTACAGGGTCCCGTCCCAAGGGAGCAAACTGACAAACACAATATTTGATCGACTATTCGCAACCAATGATGTTAGAATTCTGCGCTTGTGCCAGGGCGATTATGGGCGCTTCTATCTGCACCGTGAGTTTAGTGTTTTCTTGGAAAACGGACGTTATGTTCTTCTCGCGGCAATGTGCATCCTGCATGGTGCGCTAGCAACATCGTATTATGTTAGCTATCCGGATCTCTTTGACAAACTAGACGCATTCTCATATATATTTTTTGTTGTGGATTTGGTAGTCGGCGTAGTCACTGACAGACTCTTCCTGCCGCAGGATTCAATCGTTATTGCACATAATCACGGCATTTCGGTCCATGACTCTTCGATAGCGATCATGTCCAGGCTATATCAGTGCATATATATCTATGAGGTGGTCGCTGGCCGCCTTGTCAAACGAGAGACAATTGGTCCTCGGCCAAGAGGCTTTATCGACGAAGGTCCTTTAGATATTGGATTGGACGCCAACACAATTTTACCAATTACACACATAAAACAACGTGTGCTGAGCTTTCTATATCGACAAATTGATTCAAACAGTTCCAGATTAAGTAAAAAATATCAAGATTTTTACAAGAACTTCGACTTTGTAAGTATATATCTTATTTGTTTGCATACGGTTGACATCTGAAAATTTGTATGTATTTATAGTTGGAGCATATGATAATGGAAAAGATGCAATTGGTTAACAGGGACCTGATCTGTTTGCGTTTTGAAGAACGGCCAAAAGACAACAATATTAATCCGATGTTAACGTTGGGCGAGATCCCTACACCTCGGCGCTTTTATGTTTTCTACACCATACTTGGCGAGCAAGTTGTAGGAGTCTATCAAGACGATTCTGTGGAGCTGCTTCAAATTATACTGCAATTCTATGACCAAATGCGTAACGTGCGTTCACTGCATACTGGAGATGCACCATCATTGCCACCGCAATTTTTCCTAAAGCAAAATTTTGTAGATGCCAACAAAACGATTCCATTCATGCGACAAGCAGCGTTGAGATTTAATCCAAGCGTTCCCGTTAGTACTCAGAGCTTTTCACCATCGCCATATCTAAAATACAATGAATTTAGCTATGATGATCGGCTTATTTCTCCGCTGGAGCGTCCAAAACCGTGCTCTGCCGAACCCATTATTTTTCGGGATCGAACCACAAAGTTAGTTAAGTTCCGATTGAACGCAAAGGCGCGAAGGCAAAACAATCCGCTGGCACCACGTGAACTATGTGCCTTTATTTGCCATCCTTTTGAACCTCTTATACTTAGCATACAGAAGTATTTGCACATTTACGCATACAACATACACCTTTACAATCACAGTACGGTTGTTGTACAAGAGAGTGCATGATGAAACGAAATGTAAATGTGATTTTTTCCTGCTTATGCAAGAATGTAAATAAACCTCTGAGCAAAAATGTATCTTTAACTAGAAGGAACATTGTGAGTCGCTGCTGTGGGTGCAGCGCTGGGGGAAGAAACTGTAAATTAATTTCTTTATTATTTATTTGCTTATATATTTATTGTCTAAGGTTCAACTATCGGCAGTTAAACAAAAATTACATGAATAGGAGAACATTGACTATGGCTATTACCCTGACCCGATGGAACTGATTTATTGGCTCAAGCAGCCGCTTTGGTCCAACTCACAGCCAAGGTGTGGTCAGAAGAATAACCGATAGCGTATAGAGATAAGAATAAATTAAATTATATTATTCGTTAACAAGGATTTGAGCTTAGTGGTACTAGTGTCAAAGGAAAACAGATGAAAATATGTTACGGCAAAGGCTACGGAAAGATTTATAGTCAGAGTAATTAGTTAGACAGAGTTGTAGATGGAGAGGAAAGTAATGCCTAGTCGCACGGGATGGAACAGCAATGCTAAGAGGGCTTCTGAGGGCAGTGGAATCGACCTCACCAGAGAGTAGTTTGTGGAGAAAAATAACTACATGGCAAATCCGTCTACTTTCGACAGAATGGACATCGATGTGACGCAGCCTACTGTCATAAGAGGGAAAATGTCTAGAAGGATCCCAATTAAGTCCAGGAAGTGCACAGATGAGGAATTGTTTTTGAACGGACTCCAGCATATCCTTCTATTTTTGTTAATGAGGAGACGGAGGAACTATATTCTAAAATTGGCCGGACAAGAGAAACATACAGAAGTTTAGTTGTATAAGGGTCAGTGAATTCCTTAGACCATCTTTTAATGAAACCAAGGACTCTTGCTTCTCCTTGTTCGAAATCACAGATATATGGACGTTATAACAAAGATTAGGTACAAAGATAGCGCCAAAGTCAGTAGCTTCGAACAGGCGTTATATCGAAAAAGTAAGGCTTGCTGCGATAAAATGTCATGACGTTACATTTAGAAATGTTAAGCGGAAGCGTGTTTATCAAGCACCAATTATTAAGGGCGTTCAAATCGGTTTGGAGGAGTAACGGGGATAACGGGATCACTATAGGAAAAACAGAACTTCACATCATTAGCATACATTATGACTCGTGAATGAGTTAGAACTTGAGGACGATCATTAACAAATAAATTAAACAACAGGGGACCAAGATGGCTTCCTTGAGGTACACCAGACGACACGTAAACGGGGTTCGACAGACAGGTATTTGTAATTGTAAACATCCGATTTAGACCCCTTTTTATTGATGGGAGCGATATACGAATCCTTCCAGACCGAGGGAAAATCCACTAGCTCGAGAGACAAGTTAAACAGTTTTAAGAGGGGCAAACAAAGAGAATCAGCACAAAGTTTATGGACAGCACTGGGAACCAAGTCAGGGCCAGTAGTAAACGAAGATTTACAGGATTTTAATCTAGCTAAGAGGCTATTATAATCGATGAAGGGGGGATAGATACAATTGGAGCTATTAAGGGGAATAGGGAGTGAGAGCTCGGTACATGAAGCATGTATAGTTGAATGGTTATTAGTAGGAACATAGTAGCAAAGTTGGTATCATTATCAGCGAACCTGCCATTATACGAAAAAGAAGAAGGAAGTAGGGAGGAGTTACGTTTAGAGTTGACAAACCTAAAAAATTGCTTAGGATCGCGTTTAAAGTTGAAATAGAGAAAATTTAGATTTTTCAATGGAATACTAAGAAAATTCCGATTGCAACCCAGACCCTTTAAACTTCTTGAACAGACGAGAATTTATAGTCTGTAGGTTTATTAACCGTGGAGTAAACCAAATAGGGCCAGTTAGATTTCTGGAAAATGAAACTAAAGGAACTAATGAATTGAAGATGGAGAAAGTAGGTGTATAGAATGCTGTATAGAATATTTGGATGAGGGTTAATCACCAATTGAACAACCTTTATGCGAAAGTAAGATTCGAATCGTTTTAGGTGTGTGTTTAATCAAATCGCTGGATAAATTGTGAGCGATTTTGATTCCGCTGAAAAATCGGTGTGTGGCACTGCGGAATGGAATTGAGGTGATTTTCCAGCGGAAGTGAATTCTGTGGCACCTCTGAATAATTCCTATTCATCCAATTTCGAAGGGCACCACTTTTTCCGGGGAAGCCGACGACGCTGGTGTTGAAAATATTTTGCAACTTAATTTGTATAATATTGATTTTCCTTAAAATATTTTGCTTTTTGCATTTTTGTTCAATTTGAAACAAATCTAAAACAGCTTTGAAGGCTTTTTCCACAAAATTGTTAAGAAGATGATTGATGCAATGAATATGAGCCGATTCATGTTTGACCCACAATCTGATACAACAACTGAGTCGGTTAAACTTAAACCAAAACATTTTTCGAATTAATAATCCGGAAAAGAAATAAAAGCAAGAAAGAAAAATGATCTTCGTCGTTGACGTTTTCTTTAATTAAACAGTTATACATATCGTGAACAATTAAATACCCTCTGTTAGGGTATAAAACATAGCTCGCAGATAAATGTCAACACTTTTTTCCATTGCGGTCTGGTCTCTGAAAAAACAGAAAAACACCACAGACACTTGCTCCCGCTCTGAGCAGAAAATTTTTGGTCTTTTCGCTTGTGTTATCTGTTTCGTGTCGTCGGGTTGAGCCGAGACACGATCGTTTCTCACAATAACAACTTAAAGCAAAATATATCAAATTGATAAAACTTTCGAGGTGGGTAGAAACATACCAGCAATAAAAGCAAATACTTCGGATAATTTTCTAGTATATACCGACCTTTTTATACCCGTACTCAAAAAAGAGTTAAGGGGTATATTAGATTTGTGGTAAAAGTGGATGTGTGTAACGCAGAGAAGGAAACGTTTCCGACCCCATAAAGTATATATATTCTTGATCAGCATCAAAAGCCGAGTCGATATAGCCATGTCCGTCTGTCCGGCCGTCCGTCTTTTTGAGCGCCTGGATCTCAGAGACTATACATAAGAGTTAGGGTAACCAAATTTGGTTTCCAGACTCATGTGATATCACACTGCTACAAGTGTATTTCAAAATTTCGCCCCGCCCCCATTATGTCCCCACAAAGGACAAAAATCTGTGGCAGGCACATTTTTAAAGATACGATAAAACTAAAAACGCAGTATCGTAGAGAATACCCATATCTACCAGATTGCCGAATCTGAACTAGATCGGATCATAATTATAGTCAGAATGAAGAAATTAATTTTCTGTTGGTTCCCTCTCCTTCTCCAGCGCTGCTGACGCTACTGATTCTCTTTCTCGCTCGCACACTCTGCCACGTTCAGTGCGCGAGCAACCCCTAGCGGAGGTGATGTAGAATCTAAATGGTACATGTAGAATTGACATTGTAGATGTAGATAACAGATGTAGCAAAAAAATGTACAATGTAAAATTTTTTTTTTTTAATTCTAAAATTCTAAAAAATTATAAGCTCAAAAATATATATACTGACTGAGTACGGGTATAAGTAGAGTCGCGTCCCCACAAGCGACTCACACGTTCCTTCTCGTTTTCACTTCGTGTTTGTCTATTATTGTGACACATTTCTGTGAATCTACGCAAAAAGTATTTTTACAAAATAAGTGTGACGGCAAGCTTTTGAAATAAAAAAACAATTTTCATGAATTTAGCATGGTGTAGTTTTCTTGTGTGGCCATTTTATGAAAACTGGGCTTGGGGAATCGTAAGCCACTTTTTACGGGAAATTGTGAGCCACTCGGTTTTTGACATTTAACAAGGTAGCTTTTATTGTTTGTTGTTTCTTTATGATTGTTTATGCAAAATGTTTTGAAATTAGCCACTGAAACGTCTGCGATCGCACAATCCATTTGAAATGCGCGGAAACAGATTGTCAGTTTGTTTTTTAATTTATTAACAATTTTTTTTCTTATTGAATAACAATTATTTTGCCATTCAGAGATATAAATAAACCTTTTTTAACATTATCAGTTTTATTAAATTTACAAAAGTGGCTCACAATTCCCCGAAATTGTCTTCAAACTTGAGATAAGAGGCAATCGTCTGAGTATATCGTGACTAAAAGAAAGGTAGTTAGTCATAATACAACATCCTGCGTTGAAATTTAAATGAACACTTGATTTTTTGGTCACCTGTTGCTCCGAACGATGTGATTTGGAAGCTTGAATTTAATTTGCGAATGGTCTTCAGAAAGATGTTTGAATCTGGAGCCGTGCCGATGAGCAAGCTTTTCAATGGTTCCGGTGGTGTTTCAATTTTGTGGTAGTTGCACTTTTTCTGATGCGCAACACATACCATTTGGCTCATGTTTATATTTAAGCGCGTGACAATGGGAACATTCTTTGTCCCTAGCACCAATCAACACTTTCTGATGTGCTGAATATTCAATATCTGGCTCGTATGCGAATGTGAGACGAAGGAGCGAAACGGATGCAAATGCTCTATGTACTTGTTAGCATTGTCGGTCAATTTCTCTGATATTATCAAATATGTAGCGGCGACCACGTCTCCGTTTCAATTGTCTTTGTTCATTTCGTACATCTACTGATTAAGATTCATGCAATTGCGACATGCCCTCATGCACATTTTCGTTATTTTCTTCCATTTGTTCGGCTCTTTTTTCTGCTCTACTATGTCCATGAATGTTGCATGATTTATGTGACGGTGCAACTTGGCCCCCATGCGTCTTGGTTACTTGATACAGCCAAGTAAGAATTATGGCCGTCAGGCATTCGGGTGATACAGGGGGACTAACGGATGAAAGACTGTCTCGGTTTTACGATACGGGGGGATCACGAACAACCCGTCACCCGCCGTAATTGAACACACCGGTGGAAGAACGATTATACTCTCGTCTTGGGGGTGGATGGAAACAGGTCCTGATACAGTCGTCTCTGCCACGGATACTGGCAGGGCGGAGAGAAGAAAATTCTTGTAGTGAAATTACCCCAATCCACGGTAGAACAGGATATGCCAGGGATGGGTGCACGAGGGGGAGCTCGGTGGAGGATTCCCCG